AAGATGATAAATTTTATGGCTATGGGGCCAATGCTTTCTGTAGCTCAAGTCTATGATTCTAATCAAATTTTTCATCTAACACACTGTTCTATTTTGCCTCCAAATGCAGGTGGTTCTAATCAAGTAGGAATTAGATGAAAAGAATTGTGATTTTACAAGATAAATTTTACTTTAGATAATTTCTAATAAGGAAATGACTGATTTCAGTTTTAACTGATGTTATATTTTACCTCCCACTTAATGGCATTTTCACAAACTTTTTTCCATATACATAACTATATCATTTCCTTTCAGCGTCTGAGTAAAACTGCTGAGAATGGATTTGTGTCCACGCCAAGAGAAGCCTTTCTCTCATTGGTGCTCTCCAGTGAGTCATGCAGCAGACACGCTTTTGTTCTTCTATATCGACCCAGTTTCATGGATGTAGAATTTAAATCAGCGATTCTGGAATGAGGGCTAATTAACTGAATAAACTGTAATTATACACAACATGATTGACCCTTATAAGAAAAAAAAAAAAGGCTAATAAAAGCAAAACACAATAATATTTATGGCATTATTCCAGTCATACATTCAAAAAATAAAGAAAAACAAATCACATTACTTAGAAACACATGCAGAGAAGGTGAAACTACTTCTACAATGCAAGGAAATGATTATCTCTGGGGAGAAGGGAAGTGATTTTTTTTTTATTAAAAAGAGTTATGGGAGACAGCTTCTGGGGTGCTGGCCATGTTCTATTTCCTAATTTAGGCGGCAGATAAATGGGTGGTCACTTATTATATACTAGAGGCCCGGTGCACAAAAATTTGTGCACTGGCGGGGGGGGGGGGTGTCCCTCAGCCCCACTTGTGCCCTCTCACAGTCTGGGACCCCTCGGGAGATAATGACCTGCTGGGTTAGGCCCACTCCCGGGTGGCAGAGGGCAAGCCCAATCCCTAGGTGCCTGCCCCGCAGCCCCTGGTAAGGCTCACAGCAGGGCCGATTGGGGAGTTGGGGTGCCGCCCCCCCGTCATGCACAGAGCAGGGCGGATTGGGAGGTTGCGATGCCACCCTCAGTCACGCTCAGGGTAGGGCCGATTGGGGGGTTGGGGCGCCGCTCCCTGTCACACTCAAGGCAGGGTCGATGGGGAGGTTGTGGCGCCACCCCGTCACACACAGAGCAGGGCAGATCAGGGGGTTGTGGTGCCACCCGTCACATACAGAGCAGGCCGATCAGGGGGTTGGGGCGCTGTCCCCTGTCATGCACAGAGCAGGGCCCATCAGGGGGGTTGGGGCTCCGCACCCTGTCACACACAGAGCAGGGCCCATCAGGGGGGTTGGGGCTCCGTACCCTGTCACACATAGAGCAGGGCCGATCAGGGGTTTGGGGAGCTCCCCCGTCACGCACAGAGCAGGGCCGATCGGGTTTGGGGAGCTCTCCTGTCACGCACAGAGCAGGGCCGACCAGGGGTTTGGGGAGCTCTCCCCTGTCACGCACAGAGCAGGGCCGACCAGGAGGTTGTGATGCCACCCTCAGTCACACTCAGGGTAGGGCCAATTGGGGGGTTGGGGCGCCGCCCCTGTCACACTCAAGGCATGGTCGATGGGGAGGTTGGGGCGCTGCCCCGTCACCCACAGGGCAGGCCCGATCAGGGGGTTGGAGCACTCCCCCGTCACACTCAGGGCAGGGCCGATGGGGAGGTTGTGGCTCCACCCTGTCACACACAGAGCAGGGCCCATGGGGGTGTAGGGGGGCCGTACCCTGTCACACACAGAGCAGGGCCAATCAGGGGGTTGGGGAGCTCCCACCTATCAGGCACAGAGCAGGGCCGATAAGGGGGTTGGAGCGCCTTCCCCTATCACGAACAGAGCAGGGCGGATAGGGAGGTTGCGGCCCCACCCCCTGTCACACACAGAGCCGCAGGGCAATCAGGGGGTTTGGGCGCTGCCCCCTGTCACGCTGCTCCAGGGGCCAGGAGGCCTCGCGGCTCCGCTGATCCCGGTGCTGGGAGGCATATTACCCTTTTACTATATAGGATAGAGCAGCCATGGGCAAACTATGGCCCGCGGGCCGGATCCGGCCCGTTTGAAAAGAATAAAACTAAAAAAAAAAAAAAAAAGACCGTACCCTTTTATGTAATGATGTTTACTTTGAATTTATATTAGTTCACACAAACACTCCATCCATGCTTTTGTTCCGGCCCTCCGGTCCAGTTTAAGAACCCATTGTGGCCCTCGAGTCAAAAAGTTTGCCCTCCCCTGGCATAGAGGCCTGGTGCACGGGTGGGGGCCGGCTGGTTTGCCCTGAAGGGTGTCCTGGATCAGGGTGGGGGTCCCGCTTAGGTGCCTGGCCAGCCCGGATGAGGCGATGATGGCTGTTTGCATCTGGTCACACCCCCTTCAGGGTGCGGGTCCCCACTGGGGTGCCTGGCCAGTCTGGGTGAGGGGCTGAGGGCCATTTTCAGGCTGGCGGGTGACTGAAGCTCCCAACCGCTCCTTTTTTCCTTTTTTTTTTTTTTTTTATTCTTGGATTTATGGCTGTCACTGGAGCTGAGAGCTGGCTTTAGCTGTGAGACCTCGCTGCTGAAAGCAGGTTTCTGGCTTTGTTTACTTTCTGTATTTGAAACTGTGTTGTGACTCCAGCTCTGAGATCCCGGCTGACTGAAAACAGGTTTCTGGGGTTTTGTTTAGCTTCTATATTTGTAACAATGTTTCTTAGCAGCTCAGAGCCCAGCAGCGGCAGGCAGGGAACGTTGGTTTCCTCCGTCACGGAAGCAAGCAAGCCTCCTGTTCGTGTCAGTAGCCTGGCTGCAGGCCGCCATCTTGGCTGGCAGTTAATTTGCACATTGCCCTGATTAGCCAATGGGAAGGGTAGCAGACATACGGCTAATTACCATGTTTCTCTTTTATTAGATAGGATAAGTTGTACATATACAACTGTACGTAAAAGTTGCACACATGGCATAGCTCCTGGTATAAGCAGATGATCAATAAAGCCAACTATTATTTATGATGATATTATTCTGGCTACTACTGCTACTACAGGGTGGGACAAAAGTAGGTTTACAGTTGTTCATATGCAAAATAATACAATGATTACAAAATACAAGAATAAACTTTCATGTACTCACAACTGTAAACCTATTTTTGCCCACCCTGTATTTTTACTGATATTACTACTAATTTCTCCTGTTTAGATTATATACACCCTCTGAAAAAAATCAGCTCAGAACATACAGAAAAAAATGTCTATATGTGAAGTAAAGCTTCTTTATTTGTGCTATTTTTCTTTCAATTTCCCGTTATAATTTTAAATCGTTTTTTTTATACACTGTGCAGTATCTTGACCACAAAACTTTGATAGAAACTAAAGTTTTTCCCTCTGTGTGAGTATTCTCACAGGCTCCTACCATGAGCAGCAGCAGGAGTACTTGAAGGAAATAGCAGAATTTTGAGGAAGGGAGAAAACGTATTTAGTTGGGATGTTTAGAGGGCTGCATGGAAACAAGGGAATGAGTAAGCTTTAAGTAGGAGGTGGGGAAATGAAAGGACATTTCTGGAAAAGCAATTTAAAGCAGGAAAGTTTGTTTAGGTAACAATGGACAAGTCTGACTATATGAACAATGGAGGGAGCCTGCTAGGAAGACAGGTGAAGAATCATATGATGGATGGAACTGACTGCTACATGAAGAATTAAGGAGTCTTTGGATGCTTAGTACATCTTAACTTGCTGAAGGCTTGTTTATAACTCTTTGAATGCAGAGACTCTACCAAATGACAGAGAAAGAACGAGCACATATTCACACTGTACACTTTGTAGTATGTAATTGATACCCTGATAAAGTCAATTTTTAAAATTTCAGCAAGAAAATCAAGAATGCTCCCTTTACTGACAATCCCCCTACCATGTTTCCATGGTTCTATGGTGAAATGAATTCAAAGCCAAGCAGCCATAATCATTTATAAAAAATCTAATGTTCTCTCTACTTCTAGTTTGTCTAATCACATCTATCCTGCATATCACTGCCAAATAATCTTCCAAAAGAATTCTTGTAAATTAGCTGTATCATCTGCTTTACGCAAGTAAAAATGCTTCCCACAGCCTTTCCTCCAATAAAGAATTAACCCGACTTTAAGATCTTCTACAATTTGAGCTCAATCTACTGTTTTGGTCTATTTTTTCACTATTTTTTATCATAGAGCTATATCTTCAAGCTCCTCTAGTCCTCTTTTACTAAGCATAGTTACTTTGTCTGTTTCCAGTTTCCATGCCTATCCTTCAAGGTGTTCAGTCCAAATGATATATTCCTTTGCACCTTATCTACCTACACTTCAAAATCTAGTTCAAATGCTAACCTTAAGCATGGAGTCTTTTCTGAAGGCCCTTTCAGGTATATTGGGTCTTTTTCATTCTTCAAACTTTACTGAAGTCTGTGCATATACCAGTAAGCTAAAATGCCATTCTTTATGTCATTAATAAGGGAATACTTGTCTTTGAGGTCTCACATTATCTATACCCACACATATATAACTGACTACAAATCATATAGAACAAGCTATCAATAGGACATATTTAGCACATAGTAATTGCTCAACAAATACTTGTTCAAAGAACTATTATTTGCATATTATGAATATCCCAAAACTCATCTATATATATAAAAGCCTGAGCAACCATTACCACCAGATGACCGGATGACCAGCTGGTAGCTATGATGCGCACCGACCACCAGGGGGCAGACGCTCAACACAGGAGCTGCCCCTGGTGGAAAGGGCGTTCCCACAGCCAACCTCCTGCAGCTGGCAAACTCCCTGCAGTCCTTCCCCATGGCCAGCCGGCCGGCTGGCCCTGATCGGCTGCTACTGGGACTGGGCGAGATGGCCCAGTAAGCCCCGATCACCAGCAGGCCAAGGGACCCCACCCATGCACAAATTTGTGCACCGGGCCTCTAGTTCACATATAAGTATGCAAATAAGATGGTAGTCTTTATAGATTTTTTTAAAAAAGGAAATTTTACCTTTTCAGTTGTAAGAGGTTTTGCAGGCTTTTCTGGTTCCTTTTCTCTCTTTTTCTCTTCTTTTTTTTTTTCCTTTTCTTTCTAAAACACAGCCCAAAGTTTTGCTAAGTTTACTTTTTAAAAATTGTCAGCTCTTAACACATTTTATTAGTTTGAGTTGTCATTTGAGAAAGGTACAAATTTTCAATGATGACAATATCTGGTGATACTGAAATATAAAAGTAAACAGCAAATTCATATTCTCAATGAGGTTATATATTGATGAATAAAAAACATCTTTTCTTGGCCCTCAGAGTTAGCTCAGTTGGTTAGAGTGTCATCCCGATACTGCAAGGTTGCAGGTCCAATCTGCGGTTAGGATACATAGAAGAAGCAACCAATGAATTCATAAATTAGTGGAACAATAAATCAATGTCTCTCTCTCTCTCATATCAATAAAAAAAAAAAAATTTTTTAAGAATATAATTTCTTGCCCAGCTGGTATTGCTCAGTAGTTGAGCACTGACCTATGAACCAGGAAGTCAAGGTTCAATTCTGGTCAGATAGGGGGTATGCAGGAGGCAGCCAATCAATGATTCTCTCGCATATTGTTTCTATCTATACTTCTCCCTTCCTCTCTCAAATCAATAAAATATATATTTTTAAAAAATATATCTTTTCTTAAAAAAACTAAAATGGAGGTGAGACTTGATATTTTAGAATTTGTGTAATTAAACAAATGAGACCTCTATTCAATAAAGTCTCACTGCATCTTTACATAAGCTTCCTAATAGCACCATAAAGTTCAAAATTGAATAAGAAGAAAAAATAAACTAACTGATGAATATAATTCCTATCACACAGATAAAGACAGATTATAACATGTAAATATAGAGGGGAAAGGTACAGTACAATCACTTTATAAGATGTCACAAAACATTTTCAGTCTATCACTACAGTATTGTGATTTTTTAAATGGCAAACAATTATTTTCTCGTGGAAAAAAAAGGTAAATATAGATACAGTATTTTGGGACCAGAGCCAGCTTACTAGTTAGTGTATTCCAACAGTCAAGGTAAACTATAATGGTATCATGATGTTCACAATTTGCAATTTCAAGACGGATGAAACAGGATATAATATTAAAAACTTAAGGACTACAAAGATGCCAAAAAAAGGAACATGAAATAAAAATTAATATGGATAAATGTTGAGAAGATCATGTTAAATGAAAGAAATAAAAAAGTTAAAAACCACATGCTTTCACTCATATGTGGGATATAAAACTGAAAGCAACAAAACAACAAGAAAAACAAAAACTCATAGACACAGACAACAGTATGGTGGTTACCGAAGGGAAGGAAGGTGGGGGAGTAAAAAGGATATATTATGGGGGTCAAATATATGAAAATGGTAGATTTGACTTTGGGAGGTGGACACACGCTACAATATACAGATGATGTATCATAAAATTGTACACTTCAAATCTATGTAATCTTATTAGCCAATACATTTAATTCAAAAAAAATCCTAAAAAAAAATAAAGATTAAACAAAGAGTATTATTCATAGGCATTACAGAGGAGAGAGATGTGTAGAAACCTAGAATTGAATGACTACTGCAACTGGGTACTGATCTAACCTTAGTTTCCTAGTAGTAAACACAACCATATAAATTGATGAACCCAGGTAAAGCAGAATAATAATCACACAAAAGTTAGTCTAAACGCCTAAAGGTTGAGTTTGCACCTGTGCCTTTAAAGTGGTGTTTGACACAACCGCTTTCAACAAAAGAATTTTTGCTATTTGTAAATCAGAAAAGGTAATACTGGCAATTACTAGGCTATAACATAAGAGATATAATAAAAGTTCCCATGGGCTAGGCAATATAATAAGCACCTTATTTTCTAATTTAATTTTTATAATAACTGTCTGGAAAAAACCTGTCATTATTGCTGTTTTACAAACAAAGAAACAAAATCTTAGGAAAGTAAGGCACAAGCAACACAGCTAATCAATGGTAGGGTCATGGGACAACAGAGACCAAACTCTCAAGTCTCACTACTCAGTGTCATCCAGTGGAGCATTGTTCTTTGGTATCACTCTTCCTTACAACAGCCAACACTTACTGATCCCTTATCATATGCTAAACACTACTTTGACTCACTTAATCCTAACTTTATGAGGTAAATAATAGTATCCCTGCTTTCTAAGTGAAAAATAAATGAGATGTGCAAAAATTCTTTATATATATATAAAAGCCTAAGTGACCATTCAACTGTTTGACTGGTAGCTATGACACACACTGACCACCAGGGGGCAGATGCTCAACGCACAAGCATGGAAACATGGAACAGACTAATGAATCACAGAGGGAAAGGGGGAAGGGGAAGGGCAGGAAGAGATTAACCAAAGATCTTATATGCATACTAGAGGCCCAGTGCACATATCTGTGCACCAGGGGGGTCTCTCAGCCTGGCCTGCAGGGATCGGGCTGAAACCAGGGGATCCCGGATTGCCAAAGGGTGCAGGCCAGGCTGAGGGACCCCACCAGTGCACAAATCTGTGCACCGGGCCTCTAGTATATTATAAAATGCTTTTCCTTCCTTCCCTCTCTCCCAGTTGCTCATTCCTCTGAACTGAAAGACCTACTTAGACACCTGGATGTTCCACAGTCATCTCATAGTCAACAGATACAACTTTTAATTCATCTCCCTTTTCTCTTCTCAAACCTGTTCCTCCTCCTCAGCTTCTACCCTTTTCTCACTCAATATCATCATCATCTACTAAAATGCTCAAGACAGAAACTGGGAGTCATCAAATCTTCCCAAAGTACCTCCGTATTCCATCGATTACTAATTCCCACAGATTCTATCTTCTCAAGATCTCTTAAAACTATAGTTTCCTTTTCATTCCCTCAGCCTCCATTTTAGCACATGCTCCCATCATTTTATTCACGGGTTATAACAGGTTCTCAGCCTTTTCCACACCCATCAACACAAAATTCACTCTCCACAGAAACAGTGGAGCTGTGTTATGACATAAAAATCAGATCCGGTTACTCCTTTTATCCTTAGAACTTATTAAAGTGCCAGAGCCTTTGGAATGAACATCAATTACCTTCAGCAGGCTCACAAGAAAACTCCTCTCTGACTTCTGTCCCTATCCTATGCATGTTACAGCCATGTCATTTTATTTGCAAATCCCCAAACATTCCACTTTGCTGACAGATTTTTCCCCCACAAGATGCTTTCTCTACTTGGAATGTACTCTCATCCTTATTGCTAATGTTTATTAAGAGTTTAAGATGCATCAAAAGTATGACTCCTGTATTAACTGTAGCACAATGAATGCATGTCAATCACAGCACACATTATATTGTATTAGAAACCCGTAAAGTTACCTAGTTGTCTATTTTTCACCATTAGACTATAAGCTCCTTGAGGTCAGGGGCCATATCTTATTTGCCTGTGTATCCTCCATGTCTAGTGCACCACTTATCAAGGTGTAGACACAGAAAAAGCGTTAGTTCAAACAATGTCTCAAATGAATTCATGATAACAAATGAAAAAAGTAAAGAGTAAAAATTTTTTAAACCTCAAATATGTGTAGGGATGGATTTAAAAATCCATAACAGGGTAGCATCATGTACCCTTAACCACTGCTACCCCAAACACAATCTAAAAATTATCATTGATTATTGTAAACTCATGATTCTATACTACATACATGACTGTTACTAATGCTTGAAAAAAAAAAACATTAACTGTCTTCAAGTGATTATAACAACAGAATCATAGAAACAAAACATTTTAATCAGATTTTACTAATATATCAAAGAATACAACAGCAACTATTAAAAACGTTAAGTAGAAGGCAGTAATGGAAACAACAGAAGGTTAATTCCTTCTTAAATATTGAGATATACCTATGGTACAAATAAATCAGTGATTTTTAAATTAAATATAGATTAAAGCCCTTTAATCCTACCTGTGGCATAGGAAAATATTCTAGAAATAGTTATATTTAACATATTTAATACTGAAGACCATACAAAATTTAAACAACTATTACAGCACTCCAAATTATGTATGGCATAATGAGAAAGGAAGTTCATTTACCACTGAACACTACATAATGTACCTGGCTAAAATACTAGCATACCTCCAATTTGCTTTTCTCAACAGCAGCTTGTAGAGAAGGAGAGGCTACCAAAGGCTGAAGGGGAGCATCAGAGGAAGAAATCTGTGGAATCAGATGAAAAGTCAGGAGAGAAAAAACAAAAAGAAGGTAATCAGAACTGACAGGTACAGGAAAGAAACAAACAAAAAAAAACATGTATTTCTAAGATACAGAAGTACTTAGGAGTATGTTAACAAAGGAAAATTATGCATCAAGAAGAATGTGTTGCTTTTTTTTTAAATTTCCACATAAAATTTCTTAAAATATTTATTGCAGGATTTGCATGATTAAAAATGGATTTCACTAGGGTATAAAATTTATTAAATCAGGTCATACTGAAAGTATTTAAAAAATAATTAAGCTTTGCCTGGGATTCAATTTTAGTCAATATTTACTATTGAAATACTAATGTATGAAGACATACTGTTCCAAGTAGCAAGAAGGTAGAAATGAGTTTGTGTGTTTTTTAACTTATAGTAACTGTTTTAAGAATGGAAAATAAAACAGATCTGAAGTAGGAGAAATTAAAGTTTTAACCTACTGTTTAAGAAAACAGAAAAAAAAAGGCCAGGATATGGAATAAAGTGGATTAATGCAATATAACAGCAAAGCAGCAGATAGACTTATAAAGCAATTTATACACTTCCTTCTTTAAGATCACACACAAACACTATTTCCAAAGCTGTACTTGCTGAATTACCCCAGAGCCTTATGAGACAGTTATATATGCAGCAGAGACAATTTATACATGAAAAAGGATTTCATCTAAAAGCCTTCTCACACATGTTCCTACTGAATTTCTATATATATGTAGTTGATCACTTTAATGGAAACATATCTTCCTGCTCTCTTTACTGCAAAAATATAACTGAAATATATTTACAAAATGTGTAGATCTTTGGAGCCATAAAACTGACATCTCTCTATTACCTAATCACATCAATAGTGCCTATGAGGAATTTAAAAATTAAAGGTACTACTATAGAAAGGTCATTATGTAATGTCAAAATAACATTATGAGATGACAAATCCTCATTCAATCTGCTTAAGTTAGTTAAGGCTGCAATTCCTGAATCACAATCCGAATTCATAAACCTCAGGGTTATTTTTTCCTTACACATTGTTGTAATTGTGCAAACCAGACATTTAGTGACTACTAATGGAAATTACACATAGAAGAAAATGTTTAAGAAATCAAACAGCATCTTAAAAGATGGCTTCAAAGCTGGTTTTCCCACTGGAAATTTACTTGCAAAAAATATTTAATCACTACTTTATGCAGAAAACAAGAGATAAAAAAGCACATAAAAACACTTAGGATGATAACCTATCATAAAGAGCTTTTTGACCATGCCCTGGCTGGAGTAGCTCATTGGTTATAGGATCGGACGCACACTGAAGGGTCTGAGGTTCAATTTCTAGTCAGGGATTGCAGGTATGATCCACATCCCCATCAGGGCACATGCAGAAGACAACCAATCAATGTGCTTTCTCACACTGATGCCTTTCTCTCTCTCTACCTCTCTCCCACCACCCTTCCACTCTCTCTAAAGTAAAAGTCAATGGACAAAATGTCCTCAGGTGAGGATTGACAACCAAAAAAAGACCTTTTTGCCCAAATTCATGTAAAGCTGGATATAAAAATATATGAGGGCCCTAGCCGGGTGCTCAGTGGTTAGAGCACTGAACTGCAGACCAGAGTGTCTTGGATTCAATTCTGGTCAAGGACACAGGTGACAAAAAATCCTATATAATAAAGCGGTAATATGCAAATTGACCGTCACATCCTCACACAAGATGGCCACCCCCATGTGGGCACAAGATGGCCGGCAGGGGAGGGCAGTTCGGGGCAACCGGGCCAGCAGGGGAGGGCAATTAGGGGCGACTGGACTGGCAGGGGAGGGCAGTTGGGGGCGACCAGGCCTTCAGGGGAGGGCAGTTGGGGGAAACCGGGATGGCAGGGGAGGGCAGTTGGGGGCAACCGGCCAGCAGGGGAGGGCAATTAGGGGTGACCAGGCATGCAGGGGAGGGCAGTTGGAGGCAACGGGGCCGGCAGGGGTGGGCAGCTGGAAGCAATTGGGCCAGCAGGGGAAGGCAGTTGGGAGCAATCGGGCCAGCAGGAGAGGAGTTAGGCGTCGATCAGTCTGGCAGGGGAATGGTTAGGGGGTGATCAGGCTGGCAGGCAGAAGTGATTAGGGGCAATCAGGCAGGCAGGCAGGCAAGCGGTTGGAGGCCAGCAGTCCCGGACTGTGAGAGGGATGTCTGACTGCCTGGTACAGGATATTTTTGTCACCTGTGTCCTTGACCAAAATTGAATCCACAGCTCTTCGGTCTGCAGTCTGATGCTCTAACCACTGAGCAACCAGCTAGGGCCCTCTCTACCGACAGTCGGACATCCCCCGAGGGGTTGCAGATTGGAGAAGGTGCAAGCTGGGCTGAGGGACACCCTCCTCCCCCGCCCAGTGCACGAATTTTGTGCACCGGGCCTCTAGTGTGTGTGTGTGTATATATATATATATATATACATATATGGAACAGGAGCATTTAGTATGTTGAGGGTTAATTCAAGATAATTAACACTGGACATAACTATATAATGTAATTCCTAGTAAGATATAAGATTAGTTACTTGCAAATCTATTGCCATGAAAGAGGAAGAAATAATTTACTCTTACTAGGATATAAACTTTAAAAAATCACCTTGCTTATTAATGATGAGGTATAATACATTATATCTTGGGTTAAACGTGATTTTTGTGAACTCTACTGAATTTTCATTACATTAATAATATAAACTCAATTTATTTTGTTCATTAGATTCCACATATGAGTGAGATCATGTGATACTTATCTTTCTCTGATTGGCTTATTTCCTTAGCATAATACTCTCCAGATCCAAAATAAACTAATGAACAAAACAGATCCAGAGACATAGAACCATGAACAGACTGATGAATATCGGGGGGGGGGGGGGGGGGGGGTAATGAGGTGGGAGGAGAGACTAACCAGGGAACTTATATGCATATATACATAGCCCATGGACACAGATAATAGTGTGGCAGAGGCTTGGCAGGAGCAGGTACGCAGAGGAGGGGGGTCAATGGGAGGGAAAAAGATAAAGCGGAAATCTATAATACTTTCAACAATAAAGATAAATTTTTTAAAATAAACAATAAAATAATATAAACTCAAGAGTATAAAATCTTTTACCTTGAATTTTTATTTTCGAAAGTATAAAAAATGTAAAAAAATCATAGAATATCTCTATGAACTTCACTAATATTCACCAAAACTTAACAGTGTACCATGTTTGTCGCACCACCACCCTCCCCCGCCCCCTTCCCCTGTATCTCAGCTGCTAGGCTTCACTGAGCCAATTAAAAATGAGTTACATGTATTCAAAGAACATTTTGATGGTTGCCAAATGGGAGGGGAACTTAGGGATGAGTGAAAAAGGGGAACCGATTAAGATGTACAAATTGCCAGTTATAAAATGTCACAGGGATGTAAAGTACAGCATAGGGAATAAAGTCAACAACACTGCAATAACTATGCATGGTGTCAGATGGATTCTAAACTTATTGGGTAATTGCTTCATAAGATATGTAAATATCTAATCACTATGATATACTAGTACACCTGAAATAATATTGCATGTCAACAGTAACTAAAATTTTTTAAATTAAAAACACTGAATTAGATAACTCAAAAATGGCTCTAGTAATGACAAAGACACTGATGTTGAAAATACATGTGAAGACTTTGAATAATCATTGCAATACTAGAGGCCTGGTTCATGAAATCTCTTATGTGCTCTTCATATATAAATTTGATGTTATTTTGCTGACTGCTGATATCACAAATTTTTTAAACATCAAATGAAAATATTTGCTTATATTCTGTGGCATATTATTAAATACTAGAGGCCCAGTGCACAAAATTAGTGCACTGGAGGGGAGGGGTCCCTCAGCCTGGCCTGCACCCTCTCGCAGTCCAGGAGCCCTAGGGGGAGGTCCAACTGACAGCTTAAGGGAGTGGGCCTAAGCCGTCAGTCAAACATCCTTACTGATGCCATGGAGGTGAAAGAGGCTCCCACCACCAATGCTGTACTCACCAGCCATGAGCCCAGTTCTGGCTGAGCAGCGCTCCCCCTGTGGGAGCACAGTGACCACCAGGGGGCAGCTCCTGTGTTGAGCGTCTGCCCCCTGGTGGTCAGTGAAAGTCATAGCGACCAGTCATTCCACCATCAGACCGAATGCAAGAGGATGCAGGCCAGGCCCAGGGACCCCACCAGTGCAAGATTGGGGCCAGGGAGGAATACAGTAGGTTGGCCAGGCGTGGAGGGACCACAGGAAAGCTCCAGGGTGTGTCCAGTCCATCTCGCTCAGTCCCAATCGGTCAGACCCTAGCCATGGTCAGTGCACGTCATAGCGACTGGTCGACCGGTCAACTGTCTGCCCCCTGGTGGTCAGTGCACATCATAGCGAGCAGTTAAGCGCCCTTAGCATATCATTAGCATATTAGGCTTTTATTATATAGGATAGCATAGATGACAGTGAGAGAAAACAGTATTTCATTAATAGAATTTATGTTAGGTTATTTTTAGGTGTGTTTGTATAATAAATTGCTATATTAATATTCTGAATAGAAAAAATAAAAATGACTTATAGATATTATGACACTTGATCCCTAAATATTTTATTCCAAAATACATCTTTTATGATGAAGAATTTCTCTTAACTAAGTATTATACCATTATCACACCTGAGGGGGGAGAAAACAATTCCATAACAACAGCTATCATTTAAAGGTAAAACCATTTTCGTATACATTACTATATAAAAGTAATTTCCAAATTGTTCTCATGAAAAAAAAATATTATATAGATTTAATTTAAAAGTTTTAAGGGGTGAGGGGGAGGTAGAAGAGGGCATAGAGAGGATAAAAGGTGATGGAAAGAGACTTGACTTGGGATGGTGAACAATACAAACACAATACACTATACACAGATGATGTATTATAGAACTGTACAACTGAAACATATATAATTTTATTAACTGTCATTCCAATAAATTTTTTTAAAGTTTAGAATATTAAAAAGAATGTATAATGTAAAAAAGCAGTATTCTATATAATAAAAGGCTAATATGCAAATCGACCGAAGGCAGAACGACCAGTCGCTATGACGTGCACTGACCACCAGGGGGCAGATGCTCTATGCAGGAGCTGTCTCCTGGTGGTCAGTGCGCTCCCACAGGGAGAGTGCCGCTCAGCCAGAAGCCCTGAGTCAGGTTCATGGCTGGCAAGTGCAGCGGCAGTGGCAGGAACCTCTCCCACATCCAAGGCAATCGGACATCCCCTGAGGGCTCCCAGACTGCGAGAGGGCACAGGCCAGGCTGAGGGACACACACACCTCCCCCACCCCCTCCCCCGGTGTACGAATTTTGTGCACCGGGCCTCTGGTATTTTATAGAACATGCTAAAAGGATTTCTTAAAATTTCACATGAAAACATATTACTTGCTTTAAAGTTAGTCCCTTTGACCCATAATGCTATAACTAAACTTAGTTATCACACTATAATTGTCATTCTCAATATTATCAATTTTTGTCAGTCTTTCAAAAGATTTCCTCTCCTACATTCATTGTAAATGCAGCCCAAACTCTACACCAGGGTATCTTTGCTCAAAAATACACATTGACAATATGTTAGAACATTTTTTAACAAGATTTTTTCATGGTCAAAGAGAATATATTAAAATATCCTTATTTTGTTAGTATTTGATTAAATTTTTTAGAATATTGCTTCTCCTTATGGACTGAAAAGAAAAACCAGTTTGCATGTAAAATGAGATGAAATCATTGTCTCTAAATTGCTTTCCAGACTTAACCACAAGTTTAACTAACTTATAGCTTGCTTATTAATCTAAAAATCAAAGGCCAAAAAAATGATTGCATCAATAAAGAGAATTAGTCTTAAATTATAACTAACTGGAATGGGAAAATATAATCAGGAAAAAAAACATTTAAAAAAACAGTGATAAATCATATTTGATCACTATAGTAAGGTTCAACTATTAGTTATCAAAAGGCTTGATAATAACCAATGAACAGGTTCACTAAAGCCATTAGGGAAGGATAAATTGACCTTTTTATTTTACACAAATTTCCAGGATGTAGTAAAATAATTTCCTCTCCCCCTTTGTTCCATTATTGGCCTTATCTTTTTTTTTTATAAATTTCATAAAATTAATTAAACGCCATTTAAGCAGTTATTAGACTCACAGAATATGCTCCTTTCTAAATCAAGAGTTCTGCTCCAGGAGAGCTCATTAACATATATGACAAAAAGTTCCAATATACAAATTTGACAAAGTATATAACTAGTATATTTTTACAATAAATAAATTGAGCGGTATTGTATGTTAAAGTTCAAGATCTATGGAACAAACTGAAATTAGTGACAGATGAAGATTTTACTTACATTTGTAACAGCTATAGCATTTTTATCATAGTATTTCTTCTTTTCGTATTTATCTCTGATGAAAAATTCCACTGCTCTGAAAACAAATAACTTAAGGAAAAGCATGAGCTCAGTAGCATGTACACGCCCTTTGATTCATTCCTCTCCACAAAGTTTAAATTCTAAATTCATTTTTCCTACTCCTCAGTCTATGTTTTCCTCTCACACTATTTCTATAACTAAACTCTATAATCTACTTTTCTTTCTACCAAAAAAGTTGGTCTCTTTCAAGAAATTACCCCCAACCAACAAAAGCACTCAACCCAATTCTAGAAAGGAAAGTAACTGTATTTCTCAATTCCATGATATTCCTAAGCTCAACTCCATCTTCACCAAACTCTAAACTCAATTAAGGTTCATTTTGGATTTTCAGTATAAAGAAAATAATCAGTACCCACAGTATACCAGACATTGTGTGTTGTCCATAGTTTCTTTCCTTTAATCCTTCCACAGCCCAGTAATGTGCATATTATTATTTTCACATCATAGATGAAGAATCAGGAACTGGGAAATACCGAACAATTGAGACTGTACTACTTATATTTTTTCCCAATATACATGCTGCCTCTAAGTGGTGGCCAATTTTTTTTTCTCCCCCAAATCTGAGAAATGGGGGGAAAGTCAAGAAGCTAAAGCCAAGATTACTGCTATTTAATGTTTTTGAAGGTGGCTAAATTAGCCTTTCGTGTTGATGGAGTGAGCCACTTCTAGTGGGATTTGAGAATTGGGGGTTATCTGATATCGATGACTTCTCTTGCCACTCAATTACTGCTTTATCACTAAAAGGAAATTCTTCCGTCAAGGATTCTTAACCTTTTTAGTACCATGAACCCCACAGGTAAAACCTGTGGACTCCCTTCTGTGACTCTTAATGCATAAAATAAAATACATAGACTTATGAAGGAAATGAATCACTCTGAAATACAATCTGTGGATCCCCAGGTTAAGACACTCTTCTGTTCAAAAGGAAAGTTACCTAAAGAAGTAAAACAATGTATTTTCAGTCAATAACTCCATATTAGAAGTTAACAAAAGCCTTTTAAAAATTGACAGTTGAGGCAATAGATAATAGAAAGAGCTGACAGATCACTACTCAGTGGATATAAAAGAGCTGAGGTATTATGAAAACACTCAAAGGCCTTTCATAATGGCAAGACAGAAAATCTAAACATTCAATTTATTAAAATAGGCGAAATGACTGAAGCTGACTTTTAAAGATAGTTTTCTACAACCTATGTCAAAGGCATTTTACATTATCTTTTTTTTTTTCTCCTCTTAACCTATAAGGTAAGTGCCACTTACATCTAAAACTGGGGCACAGGCCGAAACCGTTTTGGCTCGGTGGATGGAGCGTCGGCCTGCGGACTGAAGGGTCCCAGGTTTGATTCCGGTCAAGGGCATGTATCTGGGTTGCGGGCACATCCCCAGTGGGAGATGTGCAGGAGGCAGCTGATCGATGTTTCTCTCTCGTCGATGTTTCTAACTCTCTATCTCTCTCCCTTCCTCTCTGTAAAAAATCAATAAAATATAAATAAATAAATAAATAAATAAATAAATAAATAAATAAAATAAAACAAAACTGGGGCACAGAAAGTTTTAGAAGTTCTCTGGAATTCTTCTAGTACAGTGCAAAAGAGAGTTGTGATTCAAAACTAGGACTGTCTGATATCCACCTTTTCAGAATGTTATTGGTCAACACAAGTTCATTTGTGAATCAGTCTGTTAATTTCTGGTAATGATAATACATGCTTTAAAATCTAAAGAAGAATGTCAATTTGAAGGGCACCTTTATTTTCAAAGTAGCCTTGGTGACCCTTTCAAGTGTAAAGTGCCAGGGCTGCTAAAAGGCTGCTTATTTAGGTATGTGAGCATTTTGGCAGCCAATTTTATACCAAAAATTAACAAGTGTGCCAAGATTTTCATAAAATGCAATGTTATATTTACATAAATTGTTTTACATGTATCTCAGCTAAATGCTGTTTTGTCATAATTATAAATCTAAATTTGCATTATATTTTTCTAACAAAAAAAAGATGAAACGATCAGAAAAGCTGGCCCTTTGTGGATGAACTGAGCAATTTTCATTGTAGACACAACTTTTATCTCCACAAATGGGAAGAAAAAAAAAAAGAACATACTTATTGTGAACAATAAGAGGTCAACACCTCATATAAATATGACCATAATTCGTAAATGCTTTAGAAGTAATCACATTTAATTTGAAAAATCAAATAAGCATTCTTCTTTCTTCTAAGGTGCAGACTAATGTTTCCAGTTACTAAATGGGTATCTCTAAGTACAGTGGGGCCTTGGCTTACGAGTGTCCCGACTAACGAGTTTTTCGAGATACGAGCCGTCTCTCAGCCGATTTTTTGCTTTGAGTTGAGAGCTAAGATTTGGGTTAGTATGTGTCCAACACACACCTCAACCTGCACAAAGTAATAAAGCACGGCTCATTATCTTTCATTTCTAACCCTTAAACTTTCATTGGTACTGAATTCCTTCTCTCCACTGAATTTCATAGAACCTCAGCCAACCTAGAAAATCTGGGGTCATCTCAGTATTTTTCTCAGAAACAAAGCCAATCTAAACCTAACTCAACTGCTCCTTCTCCCAAATTTCCTTCTAATCTTTCCAATTGCCTGCTCTCCATTTTCAATGCCACCATTTAATTTATATTTTGTTATTACTCACTTCAGGGCTATACTAAGTATTCTACATGGTCTCTCTGACTCCAAGATCTCCTTCAACTAATCTTCCTTGTGGAGAAGGTAATTTTTTCAGTGTTTCTCCTGCTTCAAAATCCTTCGAGGTTTTTCAAATCCTTCAATCCGTTTAGGCCAATGAAATGAGGTCTAAACTGCTCTATATAGTATTAAAAATTCTTCATAATTTGGAAAATAAGCTTCTACTGCCACTTAACCCACAAACAAATCTTGTCACATCAAGACCTTAAAATGTTATGTTTCTTCACACTTTAATACTTCTCATACAATTTTTATGTCTGTAATGTACCTCCCATTCTTACCCTAGAATCTTGCTATAATACAAATGGCCTTGGATACCAGATTGCTAAATTTGTGGGAAGGAAGTGGGGAAGCAGAAACAGAAAAAGTCAAATACAAATACTAATTTTTTAAATATAACTTAAAAGATTTCTACATAAATATGAAAATATATATAATGACTTGTATCTCATGTGTGAAAAGATCATCTTTTTTTTCACTGTTTGACCATACAAACTGTTTTGGTACACAAGTGGATAACATATAACTAATATATAACTGATTTTTAAGAAACTATATTTTACTGCAAATGTCACCTATGGATAGAATCACAAATACCTACAATGAATTAAATATTAATATTTATAGAGCAGCACAATTGTGATGTTGCTTTCTCAAACTTCAATATGAGTTTAAGAAATCCTACAGAATCAAAAGTTTATCTTTAGCAACTGTGAAAACATCCTAATTAAAATGCCTTTGAGAAAATATTCTATTCATTCATTAGAACAGATTTGTAAAGTAAACACAGTTGTGCAGCCTATGCAAATATGGAATGTCAGTAGTGAATATCAGCATAAATTACTTCAGTACTCCACTTACACTAAATATGTAATTTGCCATTTAAATGTATACATGCCAAACTACTTCACATAAATATAATTACAATATAAAGGTAATCAAAGAAAATCCCTTTGGAAAAGATTTTTTTAAATATTCACGATATACACAAATAAATCTCTAATAAACAGTCTAAAACAGTGATGGCGAACCTTTTGAGCTCGGCGTGTCAGCATTTTGAAAAACTCTAACTTAACTCTGGTGCTGTGTCACATACAGAATTTTTTTTGATATTTGCAACCATAGTAAAACAAAGACTTATATTTTTGATATTTATTTTATATATTTAAATGCCATTTAAGAAAGAAAAATCAACCAAAAAAATGAGTTCGCGTGTCACCTCTGACACGCATGTCATAGGTTCGCCATCACTGGTCTAAAATAAACTCTCCAATCAAGAGGTGGACATAGACTGATGAAAAGGGAAAGATGCAAAGATTGAGAAACAGCGATCAGGCTATCAATCCCCAGAAGGAAAGTAGGGGAGGGCGGGGGTAAGGGGAAGAGATCAACCAAAGGACTTGTATACATGTATAATAAGCCAAACCAATGGACATGGACAATAGGGGGATGGGAGCATGACTGTGCGGGGCAGGGGGGGGGGGGGGGGAGTGAGGTTGGGGGTTAATGGGGGGGATGAGGACACATTTGTAATACCTTAACTAATAATAATAATAATAATAATAATAATAATAATAATAAAAAAAAAAGAAGAGGTGGAAATCACAGCCCTGGCCAGGAAGCTCTGTTGCTTAGAACATTGGCCCAATATGCCAAGGTTACAGTTTGATCTCCAGTCAGGGTAAATACAAGAAGCAACCATTTAAATAAGTGGAACAACAAATTGATCCTTCTTTCTCCCCACCCCCTCAGAATAAATAAATAAAATTTTAATGAAAAATAAAAGAAATAGAGATCAATCAAGAAGAAAAGGTATAATATTTTATACTTAGTAATAATTACATAAAAATACTACGTAGATCATGTATTACCAGATTCCTACCAAAATTTACTATACACAAAGCACAGCCCAGGACAAAGCAAGTTTTATTTTTAATGAGCAACAGTATGATAAAGTTCACATCTTCCTAAGCACAGTTAAATATGAACTATAAAAATAAGTTCATTCCTTACAAAACCACAATAAAGAAGTATTAAAGGATACTGATCTGTCTGTGGTCTTCGAAAGTTCTCTGGAAGATTGGCTTCATAGAGTAGTCTTGCTTTAGTATTTCCCATATCCTGCATGCACTATAATAAAAACAAAAATCAAGTATTTGCATTATTCACACGAGCATTTAAAAGTAATTCCTGCCTGGCCAGTGTGGCTTAGTGGATGAGTGTCAACCTATGAACCAGGAGGTCATGGTTCAATTCCCAGTCAGGGCACATACCCAGGTTGCAGGCTTGCCCTCATTGTCAGACGTGCAGGAGGCAACCAATCAATTATTCCCTCTCATCATTGATGTTTCTATCTCTCTCTCCCTCTCCCTTCCTCTCAGAAACAAATCTATCTATATAAAACCCTAATATGCAAATCGACCAAACGGTAAAATGACAGTCACGATGATGCACACTGACCACCAAGGGGCAAACGCTCAACACAGGAGCTGCCTGCAGGCCCCAACCAGCGGCAGGGGGCGGGGCTGGCGAGTGGACGGCACCAGACCAGCCAAGGTGGGTGCAAGCGGGGCCCCAATCACCCCGCCAGTCACCCCACAGATCAGCCCTGATCGCCACCCAGGCCTAGGGACCCTACCCGTGCGTGAATTTCGTGCACTGGGCCTCTAGTAAAAATATTTTTTAAAAAAAGTAATTCCTATACACACACACATATATACATATACAAGGTAACATTTATTTCCAGTACATATACTTCTCTTTAAAAAAAATAATCTAAATCACAATTATGAAAGTACTATGTTCAAAATAAAAACATATTTCTAATCCTTCACATTTTTTTCAACGTATATGGATCCACAGTTTTCTAATGCCTTTTTCTGTGCATATAACAGCATCTTCATTTATACTCACTATTTCCTACAAGTGAATTCCTAGGGTTGTTCATGTGCAGTACTTTTGTTTTAAATATACTACTTGAACAACACTACCATTTTCAAAGTAAACAACTCAAGATCAAATTTTCTTTGTTTTGATTTTCAAAATACTCTGGGGTTTCATGATTTTTACTCAAGATCACTATGGAAAGGAGATAAAAGAGAAATAGTGCTGACCTAGAACTCTACATAAGTGGATTGATATCTTTGGAGTTATTAACTTCTTTGAGATTTTGCTGAAAGCTATAGATCCGCTCCCTACCAAACAAACAAAAAAACTGTGCCCAATGGCCAAATTTTACATACAAGTTCAGGAGTTCATAGAACTTCATCCCTAAAATCTATAAACCCCAAGAGTTTTTGATAATAATTTCAATCAGTTTAATTACATTTCAGTATCATCTATGAGTAAAGACTAGCCAAACAGTACTTCCTGGATAGTCTATTACATTAGAAACTAAATTAACATTTACAAACAAAGCGTTATTCTATTATTATTTTACATTATTTACATACGGCTTGAGTCCCTTAAAATGTTTTAATTGGTAGAAAACCCCGTTTTTATAATTCCTTTTATTTTTCTGGTTTCCTGGACATCCCCTCCACCTCTCAGCTCTCCCCTCTCCCCCACACATCCTGGAAAAGGCAATTCAGATTTAAAAATTATTGAATGCTGACCTTGAGTTGTAGGCCTCAAGGATACAAGGAGTTTATCTTCCTTCAAATAAAAAAGTAGTGACATTTCTTCCAACTGAGAGTTTTAAGGTATGCAAAATACTAATATACCCTAACTTATGCTCTCTACTCCACCCCACCTCAACATACATATTCTCTCAAATTAAACTTGATTTTTAAGTCATTCTTCTAGAGACAATGAGAAAGTGAAGTAATAGGGGGCTGGGAAATATAAGGGAATAGTAAACCAAAAAATAATTTTTGTGTTTTTATTTAGTTTTAAAGAAGAAAAAAACAGAGGCTAAAGCAAAATAAACCCAGACTTCAAAAGTGTATCCGATGCTAATAAAATATCATGTCAACTATAATTTTAAAATAATTTTTTTAAGTATATGAGATGAGGAAAACTGTATAAAGTGAACTGACAAAACAGGGTCAGAGGACTATATTACATTATGACACACCCTACCTGGAAGTTAGTTATGCATAGAGCTAATATGTAATTCTGTGTGGCAGGAGAAGAGTTGAGAAATTTTCAGTATAGCTTGTTCTTTTTGAAAAAGAGGAAAAATGTTTCCCATCTCAAATATTCAAATGATGCTGAATCTTTGTGCCATGGTGGGAATTTGAAAGTAGAGTAGAGATAATCAAGATAATAAAGACATTAAACAATTAGAAAGAATTAAACCAAGAAAAAATAATTTCTTAATTGGCACCATATATGCAATGAAGCATAAAGTAACTTCGAAACAGCTCACAAAAACTATGAAAGTAAAAAAATTTGAAAAGTTTATCAAGCAAACAAGAATACATAGAAATTTTACCAAAAAAATTAGTAAGACTAAAAACAGGATCTACTATACATGCCACATTTCATTGACCATGTTACATTTTTCTTCATATTTTAACATGTATGAAATAGTAATTTATAATTGATGTTATCTTATAATAAATAATTTTTTTCTTATTAGTCTGTAAAATGGAGGTGTACTTTACAATCAGCGATATCTTATATTCAATGATAGGACTATACACATTATATGTATTCTTTAATGTAGGTCATTACACTTTTTTGGCAAAAAAAAATATTTAGGAATAAGGCATACGTGTACATTATACCAAACTAATGTTGTACTAGGGATGCTATCCATCACAATTAGGAGGGAAAAAAAGAGGTATAAAATCTGAAAGGGAGTAGTGATGTGAACTAGTATGTCATTTCTACAAGAGACCACTACAAAAAACTGACTGGGTGCAGGTGCATGGGTGTGTGGTTGTTAGTTGGGACAGGGGGAAACAATGATTCAATGACATCAGCAATGTAGAAGGATCATTTTGTAAGAAAGAAGATATTAGTGAGCTCAGATAATATCTAAAAAGTAGAATACAGCAGAAGGAAAGTCAGCAATGAAAATTTCAGTAGAGTTAGAAGAGTAAACAATTTGGAGATTAAAACCAGGGAAAATAAACAATAGGAGAAGGCATTTTGAGGAAGTAATAGGAGTATGGTACAAACTAGTTGTTCGAAAGTATCAAGACACTACATACAGGTAAGGGCCCTATAGAACACTTTAGAAAATTTATTCTATTGGTCTTGAAGAGCAAACTCTGTTGTCTGCTAATCAGCAGAAAATAATAAAAACATTCTAATGACTACAATGATAAACATTACCTTTAATACTTTATTTTTATATATAAACTAGAGGCTCGGGGCATGAAAATTCATGCACTGGAGGAGGGGTCCCTCAGCCAGGCCTACCCCCTTCTCACAGTATGGGAACCCTCAGGGGCGGGAGGCAACCTGGTGATCAGGGGAAGGCGACACCCCATCACACCTCTATTGCTGCCACTGCCAGCAGCACAAGCCTCGGCCGGCCCTGGTTACCTGAGCCTCAGGCAGCCCTGGGCAGCTGGCAGCCGGGCAGCCATCATCCAAGGCTTACCTGTGCCTCGGGCCGGCCCTGGGAGGCTAGGGGGCTGAAGGGACTGGGGGATCTCCAGAGGCAGGCGCACACAGTGGCCGGCCTTGCCACGCACCTGCTGCCCCAGCGGAGCTGAGGGGACTGGGCGCCACCATCTTGTGGCTATGGGCACCGCCATCTTTGAGGGCATGGCAGCAATTAGCATATTCCCTCCTTATTGGCCGTGGGCGCTGCCATCTTTGCGATGGCATGAGGGTCATTTAGCATATTCCCTCTATTAGATAGGACAAGATATTATAAACTGTATGCCTAATATACAGTATATATATTATATACATTGTATATACATATATGGCATTAAAATGTGGTTGGTGTGTGTGCAGGAGGCATCAGTAGTTTAGATATCTCAGATCGGATCTAACAAAACTGGACACTACATGCTGCAGGGCTTACCAACATCAGGCTCTTTGCTTTAGAGCAGCAGTTCTCAACCTGTGAGTTCCAATCCCTTTGGCGGTCGAACGACCCTTTCACAAGGGTCGCCTATGACCATCCTGCATATCAGATATTTACATTACGATTCATAACAGCAGCAACATCACAGTTATGAAGTAGCAACGAAAATAATTTTATGGTTGGGTCACAACATGAAAAACTGTATTTAAAAGGCCAGAAGGTTGAGAACCACTGCTTTAGAGGCTCACAATTCTAGGAAATTGAAGCAGACAAGAGGTTATATGTGGAAGACCCCCTATTGTTTTCACTAGCTGATAAGCATAGACAGAGAACCCCCCAAAGGCTGGAGCTAGGCGCCACCTCTGTTTGTCCAGACAGTGGTAGCTGAAGCAACTTCCCCATTTATTATTATGTAAATCCTTGCTGATGGGCTAGTCTGCCTGTTGCCGGGGGTCACCTGCCTAAGGGCTATGCTATGGGTGTATCCCAAATCAATAAAAGCTTGGTGAGATCTGAGCACTGGTGGAAGTCCTTCCTCCTGAGTTGGACTTACTCGCCTGGTCCCCCAATATTTCCAAATTATCTCGTGTCTTTTCTCTTTCATTTGTGTGCGGCTCCGCTTCCAGGTCCTGAACCCTGATCCACACGGGACGTGGAGGGAAACATTTACCAACAGTTATATGATTGCTCTACTGGATAATACAATGAATCAGTTACAGAGTTGAGTCTAGGATCAAATTTTTTCAGTCCCAATTCTTATTGCCATGCATCAGCTAGTCAAAGAAAGTATCCAGGAAATGTCAACATAAAACAGAATACTTAAGTGTTGCCTCCATTATTAAATCATTATTCCTGTTATTAAAACATTACTTCTTTTAGGTCTCCCATCAAAAATGCTTTAGAAAAATGCACTGACAGGAGAATTTTAGTTGCTTATTCTCTGGCATTTATAATTCAGTTTTCCAGAGCTGGGACGAGCAGAGTGGTTGCAAAAAGAAAAAAAAAGGGTGGGGGATCTGAAAAGGGGCATATACTTCTTTTAAATAAATTGCCATTTAGGTAGAGCACATTTTAAAGTTAATATTATTTACTATATATATTAAATTAAATCTGTCCTATCATATGTTCCCAGAAAGATGAA